AAGCCATATTTCAAGAGTCTTTGGAGGATGCAGAGATGGGAATCAAGGTGAATGGAGTATTGATCAACAACATACGATATGCTGATGATGGTGTCTTAATTTGTGACAACATAGTCGATCTTCAACAACTTGTCACTATAATCGGAGAATACAGTAAGCTAATGGGATTAGAGATTAATACTAAAAAGACCAAATTCATGATCATCTCCAGAAACTTGGATGCACTTGAAAACACTGAATACTAAATCCATTGAAAGAGTGAGTAAATTTAAATACCTGGGATCGTGGTTTTTTGAAGACTGGGCATCGGACAGGGAAGTAAAATGTCGCATTGAGCAAGCTCGACAAGCTTTCGTAAAATTCAAGAAAGTACTGACTTGCTCAGAGTTTGATCTTTAACTGAGACTAAGGTTTACTAAGTGCTACGTATGGTCAGTGCTGCTATGTGGCGTAGAGGGCTGGACACTCAAAACGAGAGATATAAACAGATTAGAAGCTTGTGAAATGTGGCTTTATCGCCGTATCCTAAAAATACCATGGACAACGAAAATCACAAATATAGATGTCCTTAAAAGAATAAACCAAGAACGCCAACTTTTCGAAACCATCAAGAAATAGAAAACGGCGTATCTAGGTCACATCATGCGAAATGAAAAATACCAGTTCCTCCAACTTATAATCGAGGGTAAAATTGAAGGCAAGGTAGGAATGGGACGCAAGAAAATGTCCTGGCTCCGAAACATAAGGCAATGGACAGGGATTAACGACATACACTCTCTGATACATATTGCAAGAAATAGAGAATTAATGGAAAATGTGATCGCTAACATCCATTAGTAGATTTGCATCTGAAGAAGAAGTACTCGATATATAAAATATAAAAGAATTGTAAAAATACCTTGGACTGGCAAAATAACAAGTAGTGTAGTTCTTCGAAGAATGAACACAAAGAACGAGAGCTGTTAATTACCATCAAGAGAAGAAAGCTAGAATATCTTGGTCATGTGATGAGAGGGAAAAAGTACCGATTGTTTTTGGCCGTACACTACAATGTACGGCCGCAACTGCTACTTTTCCACTCGCACTAAATATATTTCTTTGGCTTAGTATCAGTTTTATATCATAGTTTCGTCTTGCCAAATATATTCGGGCTCACCTATCGGTATTTGGTATCGCCACTTATTGCATTGAAAAATAATTTTTTTATTCGTTTTTCTATTGTAATAGTTTTCTATTTTACTTTTTTATATGCCTTGGGATATAGGTAATTTTCCATTTATGACCGGAATCTGAGTAGTTTTAAATTCAACTAATCACGCAAAAAATACTAAACTAAAAACAAATATCCAAAGGAAATATTCCAGTCCTTTGTGAAATAATTAGTCACTGAACCTTGATCTAGGTAGTTATACAAACATATTAGTACATATTATCCTTATTTCTGTTGTTTTTACTTTATTCATGAAAACAGGCAGCTGATAATACATCCCTTTGTGAACTATAATTCCCAGTAAAATGCATTCGCAAAGAACGGAGACTATTTGATCTTCCAAGTAAATATTAAACCCCTTTATCTCGAGTATTAAATAAAATTACATATAAATTTCGCTTAGTTAATGTATTTAAACGAGAATCTTTATTTTATTTGAAATAATTTAAATTGTTCTGAAATTTTGAACTTACAAAATGTGTATATATATATTGTTATGCTATTTAAATTGTATTATATTGCTTATTTAGAAAAAAATCCTGTCTATATTTATTAAATGATCTAATCTCCAATTAATCACAATAAATCAGCATTAATTAATTACAATCTCAGGCTATTTAACTTGTACTATTTACCCTTGATCGTGGATTCAAAATATTTTCCAATTGGCTTCCTAATTGGGATTAGTAATATGACCTGAATAAAATACATAGAATTTCAACTGAACTATATGTGAGATGTCCTTTATTTTAATGAAATTTTATATAACAATCAATCCTGTAATATTTGCAATATACTAACTTTAAATATATGAGAAGTTGTTTTCTATCAGGGACCCAAATGTTATTTTACATTGATTTTTAATATGTGTTATAACTAAGCTCTTTTTATAATTTTTTTTTTAATGATCGCAAAATTAACTGTCTCTATTATTTATTTAATTTATTTAATTAATAAATGAAAACCACACTCCTGCTCTAATGAAAATTGACTGACCTTTCTTTCTCTGCCGTTGCAATTCTATGGCCACGCCAAAAAAAAACCTTTCTCTGCTTCTGCTCCTATTGTGGTCCAGATGACGTACATCTTTCTCCTATCTGTCCTTGTATCTGCCACCCAACAACTCGTGTTATTCTATGCAGCCTCCTTTTGAGCCAATCTCCGCGCCTGTTTATAACTCCAAATGTTTCCGGCTTCGTCTGATATTAATATTCTTATACCCTTTGGTTTTTCTATCTCTCTGTACCCCGTTCCTCACACTGGTCAGCTTTTACACAGCAAATCAACACACCCGGTAAATTACGTCTTCGGGACTTCAAACAAACACAAATCACAAAGCTCCTTCCTTCTTGGACGACGAAAACTGACTAACTAACTTTTTTTCTCTCTCCTATCTGATAGCCAAAACCACTACCTCCTTGTATTCAAAAATTGACCAATAAAAATCATCCACCTCTGTGACGTATATCGTTACCAACCAACTCTCTCTATAAAACGTCATTCGGGTAATTCCAGAAAACAACATTCTTTAATTATTGTAACTAAATCTATCTGCTTTACAAATATTTCTTACTAATAGCTACAAACGATACCTGTTTCTCAATTCAATGTCTTTTGTTAATAAACTTTTACCGATATAATCTTTCGGGGAGAAAAACCACCGCAAATCCCGGTCTATTGTTTAAATACTTTCTATATACACTTTTATTCCGGGTAAATCCATTCCACAATAACCGACTTTCTATTATCGATAAATTTCTTATCGATAATATTTGAAAGTCTTGTATCTGAGGCCTAATGAACAATTCTTCGAACAACTTAAAATACATATTTTGTCTTATATAGGATGTTTGAAAATTTATATGCCCGTGTCTTTATGAAATATCAATAATTTTAATTTTTATTTAAGTAATAAAATTTGTATATCGGTTTTTTATTGCTTATGGACATTCAAAAGTACAACAATATATATGTGGTAGGTAAATATAAATTCAGTAGTGGATTCAGTATCATAGATCACGGGTCACCAGTTATATTTCCTAAGGCTCCGTTTCGAAAACTTACTACACTTTCGCGGTCCGGACTAAACCAGGCAATGGCGTAACCTGAGGGGGGGGGGAACCCAGAAAACCTCCAGTAGTTAAAACCAGGCAACTAGACCGCCTCGTTTAGGGAGGATTATGAAATAGACTCAAGGAAAAAGATGAATATAAAGATATTATATTGTTTTTTGAAGGAAGACCTTTGTTTAATAAATTTTTGCGACATAATTTGAAATATTTGTATCTTAGAACTTAATTTAATCATTTAGTGCTACTGTTTCTGGTTGTTTTCTTTCTGGGAATATAGTATTCAAACATTTTATGGAACATATCTAAATCTATTTAAACATTTCCTGCTTCCAGAAAATATTCTTTAACAATAGCTGCGTCACTATCGATAGCAGCCACCTAAGATTTTCAGACGACATCGCTCTAATTCCAAATAAATAAATCAGAGATTGAATTTTGTAAGATTGCATCAAAATTGAACCATCGATGATTGAAAATCCGTTCTTTTCTACGATAAGACTAGAGTAAACCTAAAAGCTCCAGATGGTCATGGCGAGTCACTCTGGCGAGCAGAAAGGTTTGCCATCTGCAATATCTCTCCTAAAGTACCTTTTGGTGGTGGCTCTAAAATGTTTTGGTAGGAATTTGTTTTAAAGCTCGTATGGAGCTGGTCTCTATACGTGCGAGGTATATGAATGTCCATTATTACTTGGACAACATTATTCTTGAACATATAATGCCGTTTGCTCCGTTTCTTAGACCTATTTTTTTATTTATTCAAGACAACGCTCGTCCTGTGGCTCGACAGGTTATTGGTTACCTAAATGATGTTGGATACTCCATTATTAGAGTGGCCACCTAACAGTCCTGACATGAATCTTATAGAGCATCTATGGGACAATTTAAAAAAAAAATTCGAAATCGAAAACCCCCTATTGCCAATAACATCTAACTCACTGAGGCCGTTATTGAAGAATGGGAGAATATTCCGCAAGCTTTTGTTAAATATTTGATATCAAGCATGCCTCGACGCATAAATGCAGTCATAAGAACTAGAGGAGAGCCTACATGATATTAGTGTTGATTCAGATGCATTTTATTGTGTTACTTTACTGATTTTTTTCTTTTTGCAATTTGGAGTTGTGCTATATTTACGCATTTCTGGCAAAAACAAATTTTTAAAGAAACAAGAAGATAAAGGCATGATAAAGTCATGTTGGACTTTGTATGTATTTGTAGGTGTTTATTAGTATTTTAATATCCCTTGATTTTATTTTGGTTTCATATTGTAAATATTTAGATTAATTAAAGTGATGCGTCAATTTTGTCCAGGTGTTTATATATATTTATACGATTTTTTTTACTTTGCACCGATTCTGTTATCGGATAATTCTAATATACATTTTAAACGTATCATATTATCCTTTAAAATAATATGTCAATATTTAAAACTCACTATTAATTTTACATAATTCTGTTAACTGATAATGTACTCCTTATCCGCAACAGTTGTTTAAACTAAACAATAGGTAGATTTTAAAATATCTCGCTGCTACTTTTGTCGCAAATTAAGAGCATTACAAAATTATTTGTCTTTTGTATCAAAAGCCTTGCAAAACATTCAGTTGATCTGTTTAATACACGTTTTCCTTATCTTTGTAACAAAATACTAGATTTTTATGTAATGACTAAGGAGTCACTTAACTTTCTTTATATATTTTAATTAGATAATTGTATTTGTTCAGATAAATAGAAAATTTATATTGTTCTATCAAAGTGTTAACTAGTTATAAAGAGTAATGTGCTACAAGAGGTGAAATTTTAAGTAATGTGTATACTTTTTATAAAATCCAACCCGTCTCCACCAAAAGGGGGATATAGATTAATTCTGGCTACAAACAGAGATGAGAATTACCAGCGACCTGCAAAACCAGCATACCGCGACGAGTATGGTATCATTGGAGGTAAAGATATGGGATCTGGCAGAGAAGGTGGCACATGGTTAGCTTGCGGACCAAAACTGCAGGAAAATGGACGAAACAAAATGTATTGTATTGGTCATATTCTTAATATGGCTGGTGTCAGATTAGAGAACCCCACAGGAAGAGGTTTTATTATTCAAAACTATTTGCTGTCCATTAACAGTTTCCAGGACTATGTTAGTGAGCTTGATCAAACCACTTACAATGGATACAATTTTGTGACAGTTGAGATAGGCGAAAGTGGAATTACCATTTGTCATCACAGTAATTTTCCTAACATCACGTCTAAATATGATGGTGAACACTTGTTGGTTTTTGGAAACTCTCCAATATACAGTCCTTCCGCTCGGGTAGTCAATGGAAAGCAAAAATTTGAGGACTTGGTAAAAAAAGGCATAGATACAAAAGAAAATCTTATAGGTGAACTACTAAAACTACTTAAGGATGAAACAACATATCCAAATGAAAACAACTCGGTAAACCAAAAAGCATCACCATATGTGAATTTATCTTCAGTTTTTATTAAAAATGAAAATCTATCTTTCGGCACAAGAACACATACTATTATACTTGTAGACGAAGAGTGGAATCTAACGTTTGTCGAGCATACAATGAAGGAACCAATCGATATCAATAATCCACAGTGGGTAGAAACAACAATGCAAATAAAACTGATGTGAAAAATTTGTGAGTTTTCATTTTTAAAACACTTGTATGAAAAGTCATAAAACCTAAACTGTTACTTTATTATTTAGTTTTAAGAAATTGATTGATTGAGTTTGAAGTTTGTGAGAGATTTTAAGGGTTTCAGCATTAAAAAAAAATGTACTTTAGACGACATTTTGTTGCTTTACTTTACTATTCTAGTTGTTTTACAATCTGTTTTATTATTGTCAAAAAAATATGAAAACAGTGATATTTTTGAATATTAAGGGTAGTGTAAGTAAAATATAGCAAAACATAAATTTATAACTTTCTTAATATTTTTTTACCTGCCGTTCTTCCTTTGTCCAATTTAGGCATGTACAATATTGTTTTAAAAGAATATTGTAATATTACCATATACACATTACAATACATTAAATTTGATTAATTAAAGATTGTTAAAGTATGCCAATATTAAACACATCAATTTACTTTTGATATCTAAATTGAAACAATTTTATAGACATTCATTAATAACAGCATATTTCATGAAACTAGATAACTTAACTTACAGTATTGAGAAACAGAAGAAGAACTGTCACATGCTAACCTACATCTGTCAAATTTACCACTAAAATCTAATAGATACAACATAAAAAAACTCATTGTGCCCAAGACTACGATGTAGTGCATTAAAGTTCTTCCCCCTTTTAAATTCAATGTTTGTTTCGTCCCTTCTAAGTGTTTTCTATTTTAGTGTGTTTAAATTATCCTTAATTGTTTGTATTTTAATATTTTATTTACTTGACTATTCCAATAATTAACTCATTGCCAATATAACTTTATCAAAGTAGTTTGATAACTACAAGTTGGAAAATAATTGCACACCCACACAATTTTACATCTAAACTTATTCATTGTCATAAAAACTGTCACCTTCATAAAACAATTACTCAATAAATAACACACATTTCAAATATATATCTCTCGAATAAGTATAAATAGCTTTTAATAACACAATGGTATATTACATCACTTAAATTTAACAAACAATCTCACACATATCTCTTCTTCATTGGATCAAATTTATCTCCTCAAGAACTTCCCGTATACTGTCAAACAACTGCAATAATAGAATTGAGTTCTCCATTCAAAAATATAAAGTAGTTTCAACCATGTTCTACCATCCATATATTAATAGAGTACCGGCATGTAAGTAATGTTTATTTTATTTATTTATTTGCTCACTTATTAATTTATTACAATCGAAGAGACTATTTTATAACAATTTGTGGGCCTTACCTTGTCTGTTTAAACTTTTTAAAAATTTTATACCTTTTATTCAACTTACTCATTTAAATAAAACCACAAACATGTAATATTGGCATAATTATTGTACTTTACAACACCTACTTTGTTTATTGTTATTAGACAACACCCTAATATGGGTTTTTATTATTTCAGCATTTGTTTAACTTTGTATCGAGACCTGAGGATGCTTTGCATATTGTAGAAAGCGAAACCGGTCGTCTGATAGTTAAATTAAATTGATTGTGAGTAAGTCTTATTTATTATTTCTTTACCTATTACCATATACATTACCATATACCATATACTCTCTTCCATCATATCTAGAATCTCATTTGTCATCCACGATTTCTTCTTAATTTTTGGTGGTTTGAGAAATTTCTCTCGTATGTCTTTTGAAACTGTATGTAACTTTTCTAGCTCCTGGTCCATTACATCCGATTGAATAACGGTATTCAAATTGTTCTGTATATACCGCTTTACACTATGTTCTGTCTGTTGGTCTTTTAATAGCTTGATGTCGAATTTTGGATTGACACTACGTCTAACCTTCTTTAGCCTGAGCTTAATTTCGCCAATCAGTGGGTTATGGTCTGATTTGATATCATCTCCTGGGTATGTCTTGACTGATGTTATGCTGTTCCGGAATCTTTTATTAATCAGAATGTAATCTATTTGATTTCTCACTTCTTCAGATCGTCAAAATGCAGAGAATCGTAACAATGAAGAAAAAGCAGAACAAGAAAAAATAAAATTAGAACGAAAACAAAAGCGAATTTACTCAAAATCAAACAATAAAGGTCAAAAAAACAGGGAAATCAAAATGAAAGTAATAAAAAAATTGTCACAAGACTCAATTCCAGGAGCAATAAAGACAAACTGTTGTGAAGAATAAAGAAAACGTTAGAAAAGATGTTAGTTAGAAAAAGAATTAAGAAAACAGTAAATACAGTTGATATTGCAGATACAAATATTTTGAAAGCAGACACACTTACTGATCATACAATTAAAAGCACTACTTTGAAATGTGGAGTTAGAGTACATATACCAGATGCTGTTGTCCTAAAAGAAAAACAAGAATTTCCTGATTCTGTAGATTTCCATTTGTTTTGGTAGGCTATATAATCATAAATTAAAACAAAAAATATATAAATGACTAGAAAAGCTTTTTTTGTGGTAAAATTTCAACTTCCAATAAAGTACGTTTTAACTTAGAGTAAACGTCCATCCATTATGGGATTCATTTAGATATTTAAGGGACGAGAAAGTTCTTTGTCGCCCTAGTGAGCAAGAAGATTCTTATTCATTGGACTGTGATAATGGTTAAGAATTAAAGTTAAAAAGGTTGATAATGATAGTCATTTATGGAGCGAACGTTTTTGATTAAAAATAGTCAACGCGGGATTTTCTGCAATACTTTTTAAGAAACTATAAGAAACTACGTTAAAAGTTGGCTGTAAGATTAATTGGAAAGTTTCGAGTCGATTTTTACTAATTCATTACATTTAGGTGCAGCAGGAAAAAGAAAAAGTTTTAACCGGTAAGTTAGTTTATAACGTTATAATCGTAAAATTTTAATTTGGTATTTATAAATAGTAGTTTTATACAAAAATTCTTAATATTTTAAGTTTAGTTCAGTTGTTAACTGTTTGTTTAATTTTACTATTTTTCTTCTCTCTAAAATTTAATCCATATTTCCTCATCCCATAAGCTAACTTTTAAGATCCTACCTGACAGATCGATTCTTTTAAGTCAAAGGAGGTGAAGAAATCACTAACCTGTTTAAAATTTATTTTGGAGTTTCATAAGGAAGCATACTGGGACCTCTACTTAATATACACATCAGATCTCTCAACGACGACCAATACAATAATCGCTACATACGCCGATGATACAGTTATCATGGCTTCAAATTCTACAGCAACTGAAGCATCCCAGGTATTACAAAACCAGCTACTTAAACTAGAGAGCTGGCTTAAACTGTGGTGAGTCCAAGTTAACAGTTTAGAATCAACACAAAGAACGTTTACTTAAAAAAAGGTGTCGCGCTACCAGTTTCTATAAACAACACTCCACTACCAGTTAATACCATCGTTAAAAAACTTGAAAATTCATTTGGATAGCAAACTTAATTGGGGTATCTACATCTGGAAGAAACGCCTTCAACTCAGCTTTATCCACAGGAAAATGTATTGGTCCATGTGTCTAAATCAAATCTAAGCCTGGAAAACAAACTTATGATATATAAATGTATTTTAAAACCGATATGGCAATATGCAGCACAAATCTGGGTTACAGCAAGTAATACCAACATTCAAAAATTTCAACGATTCCAATCGAAAGTACTGCGCCAGATCTGCAATGCCCCTTGGTACATTACGAACCACTGATTAGACCATGATTTACAGTTACCAACAGTTAGCGAAGCAATATCTGCTGTAAACTTTCTATACAAGACTAGACTATCCTGCCATCCAAACCCGCTGGCCACGGATCTGCTCAATATTTCACACGAAAGAAGATTAAAACGACAGAAGCACCAAAAGAATTTAAGGATGATACTGGGCCTGACATTATACGAGAAGAAATTGAATATGCAATGAAACAAGCTAAAGGTGGTAAATCTCCCGGGCCTAATGAAGTTACTATCAAATTACTTAAAATTGTGATTACCAAATATATTGATCTTCTTTTGGATCTCTTCAATGCCATATATAGAACAGGTATAATACCTAAAGAATGGCTCCAATCCACATTCATACTGCTACCCAAAAAAGCCAATGCAAAGGAGTGCAATAAATATCGTACCATAGCCTTAATGAGTCATGTCTTGAAATTATTTGTAAAAGTAATTCACAATAGAATACATAAGAAATTAGATGAAGGCATAAGTAATACACAAATGGGATTAAGGAAAGCACTGGGAAAACGAGATGCATTGTTTGCACTAAGTGTTCTTTCGCAGAGATGCTTAGATATTAATTAGGAAGTATAGACCTGTTTCATTGATTTTGAAAAGCCATTTGACAGAGTGCACTTGAGGTACATCATGAGAGTTGAAAAATACGAACTACTAAGAAATATAATGCAGGGTAACATTAGGCGCAGAAGAAGAGTAGGAAGACGTAAAATCTCGTGGTTATACAATCTCCGTGAATGGTTTGGATGCAGTACAATTGAACTATTCAGGCGCTTAACCAACAAAATTATAATTGCCAGAATGATTTCTAATCTCCGATAGGAGTGGAACATGAAGAAGAAGACACTTATATCACACAGAAAACTTATATCATGATGGTCTGTCAAAATTGTCACATTTTTCACAGATTTTTTCCAATAAATAACTAACTAACTAACTAAAAAAACCCACATTATCAGACTACTACATCTCCAACTACTACTCGATCCTGCCCTGTAAATTAGTTTGTGATGTAAAAACCTCATTAAAATTCACTTTCTGCTCCACTATACTCCTTTTTCCTAAAAATTATATCGAACCACACAAAATTATCCAATGCAAATTAATTTCCAACTTCACGGGGTACCATAGCTTCATTAGGCGGTCTTTTAATACCACTGAAACTCTGTTCGCCACCTTGAATACGGTGATCAACGTACTTCCTGAAAGGGCCTTGATGAAGCGTGAATGACGCAGATAGTGGTCTCGGTTTCAGAGTTTTCAGCAACTCTTTTATTCTACTTTATCGCCAATAATCTGATATAGACTAGAAAATATTTTAAGACTGGTGCAGATATTTGTATGCGAGTTCGGAGAATTGGTGCATATTTTAACTATAATTTGGATGCATATCTACTAGGATATTGAACCTGTTAATTATGTTTGAAATGCTCTTAATTAACTAAAAGATAAACATAGCTAAAAATACACATTTAGTAAAAGATGTAATAAAAGCTTTATGCACAATACATAATAATCCTAGTACATCGTGTTGTAAATAGCAACTTTGTTCGGGTTTTATGCTTACATCTTCTAATTAGGTTATATACAGAGTAAGT